TATATATATATATATATATATATATATATATACACACACTTATATATGTGAATGAAAGCGCAAGTTCAGTTTTTCTTATTAGGTTCTCTTAAATTTACTTTAATTATCTTAAAATATTCTTGGATGCTTCTAAAAAGAACATTAAATGCTTTTATCTTAAATAAATGAGGTAAATAGGCCTGCTTGTAATAGTGAGTAAAGTGTTTTAAAATTTAAACAAAAAAGTCGGTTTTGTACATAGACACCTTTCATGCAAAGAAAAGAAAACTAGTTAATTACAAAAGTATGAAGACACAAGTTTTAGAAAAGACGTAGGTACATTCTAACGGACAGGAGGTAAATATGGCATTAACCAAAGATGGAATTCTTTACCATACATTTCTTTAAGTGACTGTTTATTAAACATTAACATACATAACACACCTTAACATAGGCTGATAATGTAATGATAAAGTATAATATTAATGGATCTGGTTATTTAGTGTGAATTCACCATTTCCCACCAGTTTTTGATGTATGACTAGTTTAGGTGTGTTTGTTTACAGTTGATATTTGAGTTAATAATGGCTGGAGACGGCTTGAATGGGTAATGAAGAAAAACTTTAATGTAAGTTTAAAATAACAGCAAATGTACAACGTTTCGACAAGGTTTTGTCATCATCAGGTGGGTTCCTCGTCATCGAAATTAAAATATTTGAGTTGTGCATGGAACCTCCCTACCCGACTGACCGTTTATTGTATTGTATTCAGGCCCGAACGCAGAATGTTTGAAAGATGGGTTCTAATTTGTGAGATTAAAAGCCAACACATATTGTGCTAAGCATGTTAATAGTACGGGGGTCTGGGGGCATGTCCCTTTGAAAAATTTTAAAAAATAGATGCTATGAGATTGAATCTAGAAGCAATTTTGCATGAAATGTAGTTCAAATAATTTCATGGGTGTTCACATAAAATTCACAAACATACAAAACGTTAAATACCATAAGCAGCTGCGTTATAACTATATAAACATTGTTTGTTTGTTTTTCACCTCACAAAAATAGGGGGTTCGGAGGACTCCCCTCTGCGTACGTGTATAGTATTGTTATTATAATTTTAATAATTTGAAAATATATCTAATCTGTTCTGCATCGTATTTAAGTTCTTTCCACCTTTACTGTGACTTAATACGATTAATTTAAATTCCAGATGGTTTTTGAGTGAAACGTGAAATAGCGAGATGGGTTAGGTATCGCAGCCGAGTTTTTTTGCTGTACTGTAGTTGCTTTCAATAACAGAAATGTACCTATGTCAGTTACCGGTATTTTTATGCGATAATAATATATTCAAATAAACATTACTAAATAGCCCTTCCCCCGCGGTTCAACGGTTAGCTCGAAAGTTTATAAAGGGTGTGCAGCTTTATGTTGGAACAACAAACAAATACTGCTAATTAGTTTTGACAGGTTATTATTTCTGCTGTTAGGGGGTGTCTGTAAATGTTGCAACAGACCAGCAAGGTGTTGAACGTGAAAGGTAATTCTCCAAAAAATCGCTCTCACACCATACACATTTTTACCTTCCTAACAGTCGTGATCGACCTAGCTTTGGGCATGTGTATTGATAAAGTCTTTGGTATATATTTGCGTGTGTTTTGTAAGGAATGTTTAGAGAAGCATTGTTTCACGTGATTTCTGGAGTCTTTGTTTCTTAATGTACACAGTTTGATTAAAACTAGTAGGTGTTTGAATGCGCTACATACATTTTTAAAATCGTATTTTAAAGAAATACATTGAAATAAACTTTCCTCGAAGTGTATGCGTTTTACGTATTTTATGAAGATTATGTAAAAAATGTTATGTCGAAAATCTCCAGTGTAGGAGAAGAAAGGTTATGGCAGTGTTATACCTTGTACGTGGTTGTAAGTACACAGCTGAAGCCGTGAGTTTTAGAATCTCTGGCTGTGCTATATTAGGTAAGACGTTTGTGGTGTTTAAATATACCAGTACGAATTGCGTAACTGTTGACTTATATAATGAGTAATTGACATCAACAACCGACACATTTGTTTTCTGTGACAGTCAAGAATCCTATGGAACGCGATAATATGTTCCCCCGATGGCACAGCGGTTAGTTTGAGGTCTCGCAGCGCTGAAAATTGTAATCCGAGGTACTGTGCTCGCGATGAATACAGCGCAGATAGCTCATTGTATAGTTTTGCGCTATAACAAAAAAACAAGCAAACAAAAATGCAACAGGCTGAGTATTTTTTACGAGAAACTTCTGTTAAACAAATAGTGTGTTTCAATTATCTAAAACAATCCTCATAAATAATGTTGCTTCAAGATATTGAAACGAAAATGTGTTGTTTTTTGGGGTGGGGATGTTGAAAAAAGCTTTGTTGATAACGTTAGTTAAGACTGACTTACTCCCAGTAGTTTACAATTGTTAGCTTTTTAGTTTTTAAAAATATTATTTTGACAAAAGGGGCATTAAACAATAATACTTAACAATTAAAAATGTTAGGTATTAATGGATTAAATCTTTTAATTATTCACTTTAAGAAACATATTTATATTATGAAGCTTTCTCATTCAAAATCAAATTAATATATACTGAGCTTATACAAGTTTTATTTTGAATTGACATATTAGTTAGACATTTTGAGGAAAGAAGTTAATGAAAATAGTAGATATATTTGTAGTTTACATTTAATTCTAAAATAGATGAAATGTAACAAGAATTTGCTAAAATTCCACTTCCTCTTATATATAAAAATGAATATTCTTTTATGTATAAAAATGAATATGAACAGTTTTACACTTTAGGTTAGGCCTGATCAATTTATATAATGTAAAGAAATTAAATTAAGCCTGTATCTTGTTATTCAACATGATATAGAAATATTCACCAATTAACTATATAGTAAGTAAACAACAAAGTGAAGCTATTATCAATCAATAAATCATTCTCTTCTCTGTTGTCTCTGAACTTTCAAAACTGGATTTTATATCAGTTTCTCAATATATTTTTCTAATGGTTTTGACTAGGTGTTAGCTCATTTTAAGATTCAGAAAGTTTCATTGATTTTTCATGGCACTGTGAGTTTCGTAGGAAC